CCTGCTGGGCTCTGGTGATCCTTCTGCCTCAGCCTTCCAAGTAGCCGGAATTACAGGCATGCGCTACCACGCCTGGCTGATTTTTTTATTTATTGTAGAGATGAGGTCTCGCTGCCCAGGCAGGTCTCGAACCCGCAGGTTCAGGCAATCCACTCACCTCAGCCTCCCAAAGGCGCAGGATTACAGGCTGAGCCACCGAGCCCGGCTTTATTCTACTTTTAATGTTCCTTGTTTTTTGCTGTTGTTATTACTTCCCTGACACATTCTTCAATGACTTTCATTTCATGACAAGTTCTTCATTCATATTTAATCTCTTACTTTCCGGGACATTCTCTTTGGATATTACCTTGTCTTGTGTCACTTTTTACAAAATGTTTTCTCAAAATCTATTAATGATATCCCTAGAATGATGTAATACCCACATAAACTCAACCATCCTAGAAGACACCAATGCTTTCTTATTCTCTCAGCCTGAAGTCTTGACTTTGCTTTGCCAAAGGCAACATTATGGTCATTCATATAGCACCAACACCAATCTAGACATAACTGAGTATAATTTCTTTGGCAGTTGAGAGTTTTTATTTTTACAGCATCTCGGGAATATCATTAAGAGCATTTGTTACTATTTGCCAGATTATGGTTGTCAGAAGTATCTATTTAGATAATGGATAAGATGAAGCTTATTGTATATATTCTAGAATGTACAAAGAAGTTTTTGCCAATTTATAGATAAGGAAAATAGGCCCTAAAAGATAAGCACTTATATTAAATTATCTCAATTATTAAATCAAGCAATTACTTTCAACCACATTTTCTGCATGTCTAAAATATAGCCAGCATTTTGCCAGGTACTGTGAATACAAAGGGATTTTAAAAGTTATTAAGGACACCAGGATTAAAATATACAACAATGACTTCCAACTTTCTCTTCTGATAGTTCAGTGACTTACAGTCTTTAACATATCTAAGAATCATTTGGAGAGCATATTAAAACAGTTTTCTTGGCCACATTCCCAAAGATTTTGATTAGTAGGTTGGAGTGGGGTTAAAGAAGATGCATTTCTAACAAGTTCACAGGTTATGGTGCTTCAAAAAATTCAAAAACAAGGTCAAGATTAGGGGTGTAGAGAATAACTGCGACTTGAAGGGGGAAAGATGAATCAAGTAGGATTATTTTATCAAGTTTGATACAAATTTTTAGTATTTAATTTCAGTAGGAAAAATAACCATGAAATAGCGAGTTTGACACTCAGGCTCAAATGATGTGCATGCTTCTGGTACAAGGGCCACTTAAAGAACCACTGCTGAAACCCAATACTACTTTCCTAATTATCTCCTTCATGAGTGATTTTCAATAATACCCGATCTTTTGAATAAATACTAGAGTTCCCCCAAAAATTATTTATGTGGAACTAGAAAGATACGGGTCAACTGGAGTTGTTCATAAACTCTTTGGGGTCTTCAGCCTGAAGCTATGAGAGATTAGTTTCAGCAAACCAAATATATACATATATATATTTAGAGTGAGAGGAGCAGAGTGAGAGAATGAGAGAGAGAAGAAAGAAGAAAAAGGAGGAGGAACAGGAGAACTAGGAGCTTGAGAAAACTATAAAGAGGACTGAGAAACCAAAATTCTTTTCTTAAGAGATAGGAAGTTCACTGGGGTGAGTTCAGTATTGTATGCTTTATTTCCTCTCAACAACTTTGCCAATTCATATGCCACACTGTATAAGGGGTCCAGATTTCAGATTTCTGATAAAATGCCAGGCAAAAAGTATTGGCTGAACAGCTGTTGGCAGACTCAGAAGGCTTAGAAGATAAAAATTGGACTTCAGAGATACCAAGGCAGCTGGAACTGATAAGGTCATATCCCACAAAGATGGGAAGCATTGAGAAGTAGCACATATCCTGTGCCTTTTTTTCCCTCTCTTTGGTATTTCATAATACCTAAGTAACACAGGAAAAATAGAAAGTAGTTACTGAGAGGATGAGGGCTAAGCAACATTTTTAGAAGTATTACACTTTGAGGAAATAAAAATTTGAGTTCAATGTTCACAAAGTTGGAGGCCTTGGAGAACAATTCAAGACTTTATTCTTGGGACTTCAGCAAAGCTCCATTCTAGGAATAAGGACAAACCAGGCCCTCTATACCCTGAAATCTTATCTGAAATTACTGCAGTGTCTTAATAGGTCAGAGTGATTTTCCTCAGCCCCACAATGTTTGATAGAAACTAAAATATACCTTCTTTAGAGTAAATAGCATACGCCAGAAGTTATACCTTTTTTAAAATATAAAATGTGGAGTTAAAAAAAATTCTAGGTATTTCAAGAAACAGGAGAAAGAGGAAGAAAAAACTACAGAAAAAGAACAATAGTTGACTGAGATATGGTATTTATTTGTGGTGTTAATATTCTGTAGGCTGGGCATGGTGGCTCATACCTGTAATCCTAGCACTTTGGGAGGCCAAGACAGGAGGATCACTTGAGGCCAGGAGTTCAACAACAGCCTGGGCAAGAAAGCAAAGCCCTGTCTGTACAAAAAATAGAAAAATAAGCAAGGTATGTTGGTGTGTACCTGTAGTCCCAGCTACTTGGGAGGCTGAGGCAAGAGGATCACTCGAGCCCAAGAGTTCAAGGTGCAGTAGGCCATGTTCGTCGTGCCTTTGCACTCCAACTTGGGTGACAGAGTAAAATCCTGTCTCAAAAAAAAAACATGTATATCCTGTAAAATGACAATGGTTAATATGTTTGTAAATATGAGACAAGATGGAAAATTTAACCCCAAAGCAGTAATCAATATGAAATATCAAAGGGAAGTTCTGGAAATAAAGATATAATAAGTGATATTAAGAATGTAGGTTTACAGCAGATAGAACTCATATGAATACAGTTTCAGTTAAGTGGATAAAGAATTGTGGAAGATATACCATCTAGAGCATAAGAAAAAAATAGAAAATGAAGAAAAAATAATAAGAGACAAATGGAAAATAGTACAAAGGTGTAACATAGGCATAATTGTAGTCACAGAAGAGGAAAAGAGAGATAAGAAACTGGACTCATTTTTGAAGCAATAAGGGCTGAGAATTTTCCAAACCTAAAAAATATATCAACATACCAACACATAGATGTAAGAAATTATTGATGTCTTGACTTGTAAATCTTCTAAACAAATAAAAAATTATATGTACATGTATTTGTATGCATGTATATTTATATATTAGCATCAAAACACAACCAATATTTACAGACAGATCCCACAACTTATTTTCAATAACTTTCTCCAAAACACTAAAACACACTTGAAAATAAACTTTGAAGAAAAATAAATGACTGAAGGAATGTACCTTAATCATGGATTGGAAAATTCAAGATTATAAAAATATGTCAGCTGGGCATGATAGCTTGTGCCTGTAATCCCAGCACTTTGGGAGGCGGAGGCAAAAGGATTCCCAGAGCCCTGGGGTTTAAGACTAGCCTCGGTAACTTGGCGAGACCTTGACTCTACAACAAATAAATAAATAATTATCTGGATGTAGTGGTGGGCTCCAGTGATTCCAGCTACTTGGAAGACTGAGGCAGAAGGATCACTTGAGCCCAGCAGTTCGAGCCTGCACAGGCCAAGGCTGTGCAGGCCATGAGTGTGCCACTGCACTCCAGCATCGGCAACAGAGTGAGACTCCTACTCAACAAATAAAAAATAAAAGAAATAATAAATAAAATAACAGCTGGGCTTTGTAGCTTACACCTGTAATCCCAGCACTTTGGGAGGCAGAGTCAAGAGGATTGCCTGAGTTCAGGGGTTGGAGACCAGTCTGGGCAACTTGGCGAGACCTCATCCCTACAATAAATCAAAAAATTAGCCGGGCACAGTGGCATGTGCCTGTGGTTCCAGCTGTTTGGAAGGCTGAGGCTGAAGGATTGCCTGCCCTCCAGCCTGAGTGACAGGGTGAAACTTCAGCTCAAAAAAAAGAAAATAAAAAATAAAATAAATAAATAAAAAGATGTCAATTGATCTTGAATTCAAAGCAATCTTAATAAAAACCCAGCATTTTTTGCTAAAATTGACAATATGATCATACAACTTACACAAAAATATCTCAAGAATAGCAAAGATAATTTTAAAGATGACTCACATAGTTGGATGACTTACATTACCAGATATATATCTATCTCTCTCTATATATATGCACACACATAAATATATATTCACATCATGTATGACAAGAACAGTGCAGTGGAGGAGAGAAATTATAATCTTTTCAGTAGGTAGTGCTACAGTATTGAATGTCCGTATGAGAATACATGAGTCTTAGCCTCACTTAAAACAACAAAAA